AGAATCATCTTCTTCAGCATCTCCCAATTCGTTGAACATGTATTGATTTTGGTACTCCATCAAGTACTGAGTTGATCTCTTCACATCTAAGAACAGATGGTAGACACGATTTATGTCCTCCATCTCCACAACCTTCCCCTTTCGTTTCTGACATGCCAACGCAGCTGCTGTGATTAAATGGATGGAATATCTGAGCGATGTTTCTACACCAATTGTGGTCAAAAGTCTCTTTGCCTCTTCAGACATTTCCACATCTTCCTCTTGAGTTCTGATATCTAAAATCTTACGTATTTCATCCTCTGTATATGGCTGAGTGGAAATTATAAGCAGGCGATCAAGAAGATCAATAGGAATACCATGCGGGGATTTGTAGTTTGTTCCCCGGATGGTGGTAATCCCCCTATTAGTAGCAACAACTAGTATTGGAGCCATCTCATTCTCCAAAGCTCGATTAAGGAAAGAGAAGCACTCAATATCAAGCATATGAACCTCATCAATAAAGAGAACACCTGGAACTATCTCGGCCTTGCCTTCTTCTCTCCACTCAGCCACTTTGGTATCAATTTGTTCCCTTACTTCAGCCCGAATTTCTCCAGTATCACCAGTGAATAGAGCTAAGAAACCTTGTGTTCTGGAAATAAAGGACTATAAAATCAGAATATAACTCTCAGTAAAACCCAAAAGGAAAAAAAAATGAATAAGAAAGAATTAGATGGGACAGCAAACGTATTGACATCACGAGTCATAAGTACGACCAACTTAAGAACATAATTAACTTACATTCTTCATTGCATACAAAGCAATGGGTTGAATTTTTTTTATTGAGTAGAGAAAGGAATATTGTGCTTCAGTAGAGGTAAGCAATCACAAACAAAATTGTCCGATGCCATATCTTAAAAAACAGAGATCAGTAATTCAATTCCCCCGTCCTTAGAAGCACAAAAATTCAAGAAAGGGGGAAAAGCAAGATCAATTGCTTGAAACACATAATATGCATGTAATCGAGGAAAGAGACCATTGCATGTTATATGCTATATTGAGAACAGAAATCGAATTCTTCAAATCTTCTTGAAATAACAACTATTCAGGAAGTGCAAAATAAAAGAACAAACTAGATTATGACTAGTGGAAGTACCTGGCAAAGTAACCACATGCATAGGTCAATGCCACCTAAGCTCACTAAGCTAGATGTTCTTATAGAAATTAGTCAAGAAGGGAAGGTACATTTTTGGGAAACACAAATTAGAGCGACCAGGGAAACTCCATACACTGCCTTAGAACATACACTACGTGATAAGCAAGCACACAGAAACAGAGACCAAGACATCAAATATTCTCAAAAGGAAGTCCTACGTCAACTTGGCAAGCGAAAATCAGAATAAAACCTGCATTAAGTACAAAAAAGAATGCAACAGACAGCAGCTCAAGTACCTAAGAAGTAGTTTAAAGTTTCAATAACCCAATTTTTTCCCCCTTTATGAGAAGCAAAATGAGATGCAATAAAGTCAAAACCTTTATGAAAAACCACCCTGCTGGGACATATTAGTTTGGTTTTCGAATAGTTGAAGATTAGAACATTGCTGTTCACCATCCCATTGCATTGGAAGTTTTATTGAAAGCCCTCAGTTACAAACAGCCGACAAAAATTTCAAACCATCAAAGAAAATTTGGTGCGACAAGCTCGACCCTCAATTACTTCTAACTGTAAACAAACAAAACCTTGCAAAATATTTCAATTGTACCATTATATGTGCATATAATTTGCAGACACCAAATATCATAACAGATAATTGTTTCCCCTCTCAGTCTCAGCTGCACGATTTCGAGACACATAACTCCACAAAAATGAATTCAAAAAGTTCTAAGGGAAAATAGAATAACCTGCTATTGATGACATCGATCTCATGGAGTGTGACACAATGTACAACCTCCTTCCGCTTTTGCAACTCACCATCGGGGCATTGCACAAACTTTGTTTGAGGACCCATTGCATCGTAATCCCTAGACCGAGAGAAAGACCTCCCCAGCTTAGTAATTTTCCCTGATGCCTTATCAATCGCAATTACATCGCCGCTCTGCACCTTTTCCTTTCCTAAAGCTTCGATCATCTTCGCCCCCAAATCATATACCGTCTCCATATCCGTTGTTTTCAAAGTAAGCTTCCCGGTCTTCGACGCTGCCCCGGCAACCGCTGGCCTGTCTATTTGAACCTCGACGACCTCTCCTTCAATTATCTCGGTTTCTTCCTTTATTCGGACGCCGATAGCTTTACGAAAGGCCTGCATCAATGCTTCAGTTTTGGACATCTCCAGAGAAAAGAGCTCACTGCCGGCAATCATAGCGAAAGGAGTTTCAAGGCCAAGAGACTTAGCCATGCCCATGGCAATAGCAGTCTTGCCAGTACCTGGCTGACCAGCGAGGAGAAGAGCCCGACCGGAAATTTTTCCTTCTTTGATCATCTGAAGAATGACTCCAGCAGCCTTGCGAGCGGCGGTTTGGCCAACCATTCCCTCCGAGACGGCCCGTGGTTCAAGAGAGGAATCAAGACCTAGGCCGCGGATGTGGGAGTGCGCCCCAATGCGCTCAATTCGCGTTAGGTCGCGGCTCTCCGAGAGCTTCAGCTCCGCCATCGTAAGAGCCGGTGCTGGTAATTTGCTTGGTTGAAGAAGGACGGATGAACAGAGCGTTGGGAACTAGGGTTAGGGCTCAGTGTTTAGAAGACTCGAAGAAACACTTCTCTGTTGGCGTTTTGAGAGTAACTCTCTGTTAAATGACATTAAGCTTATTAACTTTATATTCGTGCCAAATATATCTTGGAATTTTGAAATTTGTCGTATTTTTAATTTTTTATTTTGTATATGGTAATTAGTAAATTTATTAATAAACACTAATTAATTATTCAGTACATGTTGTATCCCAAAATAAGAATCTGTTCAACTCTAGAGAGCTGAGCTTAAAATGTGTGGAGGTGTAATACTGTAGGTTTAAGTGTTGAAATTTTGATTCTATCACGTGATAGCCCTTGACATTTTTTATGACTATATTATCTATTTGTCTCGGGTTCCATTAGCATGTTTTATCCTCGCTCACATACTTCATAGTAAGGCATCTAACGTGCTATTGTTCAAAGTTAAGTATAATTTCTATGATTAACATTAAAAAAAAATTAAAAATCCATCAATGATATTTTCATGATCATTTCAAAACCTTGGTTTTGGTTAATTTATACTACGGAAGATGTCACAAAATATTTAATCTTTTAAGTGAGCGTTTAAAATGTTTTATCTTTAGATTAATTTTATTTCTGTTCAATTTAAATAGTGGTTATATTTATTATTATTTTAAATAAAGCGTCATGAATTGTATTAAAATATCTGTTTTTAAAGTATACACAAAATTAAATATTAAAAAAAGTAAAAATAAATATGTTGAAAGTATAAAAATTAAAATGGACAACAGAAATATAACAACGAAGCCATCATTGTAAACATTAAAAGATAAAAGAAGAGAGAATCTACCTAATTTAAGTATATTTTTCAAAAGATGCTTAAATTATATAGTTATATATAAAAATAATAATAATAAATAAATAAATAAATAAAATATTTATAAATAAAAAAAGTATAAAATAATTAATATATCCACCCACAACAACAACCGACCGAAATTTAGTGCATATATACACATAAAATGAATCAATTAAACTATGATTAATTATGATAATGTATATATTAAATTTATTTTTAGTAAAAACTAGAATTTTATGACTAATTATAAAATAAATATAATTATTTTTTGTGTTTTACCCAAATGCAAAAAATGGATAGAATGATTGTTTCGAAACCATTTTTTAAATTCAACCAAAAAATAAAAACAAATATGTAATGGGTTGACTTTGATTTACAAAAATAGTCAGTTGGGTTCGAAAAATAAAAATCAAACAATTGAACTTCGATTCCGGGGAAATAGTCAATTTTAGTGAATTTTAATTTTTTTTTATAGCAATATTTGATATATAATAATAAATAAATGCAGCAGTCCTTGAATTAGGATTGCGTATTTTCCCATTCATAAGAAATACTAAATTATTGTCAACCTTTTCGTTTACACGAAAGAATAATTCAATCCCCTTTTTCTTATAATTAATTTGATCCCCCATTTCATCATCTTTAATAACGATATTAATAATAACAGTAAAAATAAGCATGATAAAATTGCCAAATTTACTTTTAATATAATTTGAATTACAAGTCTAATTCTTTAGTAGTTAGTAGACCCATTAACATTAAAAAATATAATATATTTTTTAAAAAAATTAACTTTACAATATTGACATTTAAAAATTATATATTTATTTATTTTATCTTATCTTATTATTTGTATCCATATAATCACGAATATATAGGTTGATGTTTTTATAAGTGAGCTTTTATTTTATTATAAATTTATTTTTAAAAAATTAAATTTATTGATAAAAAAAACTACCTATACAATCGGAAATAATCGGCCGGCACGTCTCAATTTCAACCCTTCGGCTTTCCATCTGTGCCCTTCAACGCACAAGAGATTCCGTTCTCCTTGCGACTTTGATCATTGGACATTATAAAATGAGAGAGAAAGAAGGCATACATTTTTTTAAATATTTGAAATTAATAACTATTTTCCTAATAAAAAATATTTTTAATCTATTTTTTCGAAAGATTTTTGAAATTCTATTAATGTTTAGTTGATAACTAAAGAAGAAATGATGTGACGGGTCGAAGATGAATTATACTAATTTAATATTATTGTTTTAATTAGGAGACATTTTTTTTTTTTCATCGTCTTCTCCAACTTTCTTAAGATGAACCATTTACGATAGTCGTTGTTATAGGGCCGCTTAGTAAAGAACATTTTTTTTATCTAATGACATGTGAGGACAACAAAAAAGATAATAGTCGGAGATTGAAGAACGTCGTTACAAAGAAATATTAAATTAATATAATTTGTCATAACTTTATCGGCTATATTACGAAAATTTAAGGTATAAAAGTGTTTGTTTGTTTCCAACTTTTTAAGACACCAAATTCACATACTTTGAGACCATTATAGCACTAAAAGTGGCATTTTGCAAAAAAAAAGAAATAATAATAATTCATAATACGGAAATTAATCGACCAAGAATTTCAATACACCCGTCTTCTTCTACGAACAGCATAGCTTCTGCTTCTGGGGTACGCATCAGTATTACATACCTTGAAATCCTCTTCAAATTCACAAGTTTTCTCTTCGTCAATTCTCCCAATCCCCACGCTCTGGCTCCTCGGCACGTTATTCGGTTCCGCCATCGGCGATTTCCTCGCCGCTTGGATTTGGAAATCGGGTTCCACATTCTTGCTCAAGCTTCGAGTGGAGGCGGCCCTCAGAAGCTCCCTGAAGTCATCACTACCGTGGCTGGAGACGGTGGACCCCACGCTGTAACTCTTGGGGAGAGTGGTGGGCACCTGACTGGTCGGCCCGGTCAGCGCCATCCCATAATCCAGGTGGTTCGAGCAATCCGTCAGGCTCCTAACGTAGAAATCTCGGACCTTCGACAGCAGCCGGCTGGAGGCTTTTATCAGTTGGCTCAACTTGTTTTCTTTGTTGCTCTTCTTCATTTGATGGCCGTTTTTTATCTCCATTATTGCTTAGTTTTCTTGTCACTCGTCGCCGTGGATGTCTGAAAATCTGAACTCGCCAGCGAGTGGGAATCGGATGAAGTTTGAATTGGGAATGATCGAGCGTTGGGTGTATGTGTATATATAGATGGAATTTGGTCAAAGACCGTGGGGAGAGTTTTGGGCGAGAGGATATATCTTTTATTTAATTAATATATATACACACATCTCTAATTTGTGTTTTTGTGTACGGCAGGGAGTTGAAATGAAGACCTCGTCAAAACCCAAAGCCAGTGGGAGGCTAATTTAAAATGGATATATATAAAAGCCACTGTTTTTCTTGGGTTGAAATGTTCAAAATTCAAAGCCAAGTGTGTATTAGTTAAATAAAATGGGTTATGATTAAGTGAATTTATCACTAATTTTCTAAATATATTTTCCAGTCTGGCAGTGTTATATTTAATCATGTTGCAGGCCTTCAATGTATAATAATTAGGAATAATCAAAGCAATGAATTAGAGCAACCTGATTTGCTCCAGGAGTATGCACGAAGTGAATCTTTAACTATAAACTTTTAATTTTACTACATTAAATTTTAAAATATAAATAACTGTAACAATAAATGGTCAACAATAAGATATATATCTTATTGTTGCGTTTAAATTATATTAAGAGAATAAAATTTAAATGATAATTAAAAAAACCATAAAAACGGCTCTTGAACAAGCAATGAAGTTTGAAACGGAGACCAGATGGAGTATGATGAAATAACTAAACAAGAATAATTTAATTCCAAAACGAGACGCTCCATTTAATCATTTGCTTTGAAGAAAAAGTTTGACCATTTCTTGCCAACTTCAGCATTTTCCTATTATTATTTTTTTAAAAATGATGAGGGAGAGCTTTATGGATATTATTAAAGAATCATAAATATGATTTCCTATAGAAATAAAAATTAATATTTCATTTTCTTTGTATTTCTTACATGTGTTAAAGCCTTCTCCAGCAGCACCTTCGTAAATTATCCTTGTTTTTTCATTTTAATTCGTTGAATTTTGCTCAATCGTTGTGAAACCCACGTAGATTAATGCTTTGTCAGAGGGCCCATCTCGGAATTATTCGATATATTTAATAGTAATTTGAAGTCAAACTAATGGGTTTGACTTTTTTTGTTTTGTTTTGTTTTAATGTGTGTGTTTTTTGCGCCCATATCCCCCGCCTACGTTGGATGACAATTTGGAAAAAAAAAAAAGGCGAGATCTTTGAATCTCTGAGTCTGTTTTGTTACTCAACTGCCCCTGTTTTTGGGGCGTTTCAAAATGTTTATATAAATGCCATTTTTTTTGTCTGTTTGCTCATTATCTCGGTTGAATTTTGATAAAAAGTGATTGTTGATAGTTTTGGAATGGGTGTGGAGGCCTTTTGTGCTTATACTTCCTCATCTTCTTCTTCCTCCTCGTGCTTTTTGGCTCAGAAAAGGGACCAATCTAGTTATTCCAATAATAATCTTCACGGTGTTCGAAAGCCGATGGCGAAGCCATGGAAGAAGCCGGCGATTGCGCCACTGCCACCGACTCGGCCGAGGGTCTACAAAGTGGACCCACTTAACTTCCGGAATTTGGTTCAGAAACTCACCGGTTTGGCTGAGCTTCGATCTCCACGCCTCCAAAAGATGGCGCCACCACCGCTTGATATCGCCCGCTGTCCAGTCTCGAACGTCGCCGTCGTGGAAGCCTCCACGCTTCAGCCTTTGCCTGTGAGGCTGGACGAGGCGGTGGACGGTGGGAGCTTTCTGGAGCTCAACTTGTCGCCCTTCAACAAAAATTGGTGCTCTTTCCCTGCTTTGAGCCCCGAAAGTCTTGCCATTTTGGATGCAATTTAGATTTATTGATGATATTTTTTAGTTTGTTTTTATGTGATTAAAGTCCCAGACTTATTAATGTAACCAAAGGAACAAACATGTGGAGATCGTGGGTAGGTTGTGCAGGTTGGTTTTGAATTTACATTTAATGACCAAATCGAATTCAAGCTTGCAATATGAACTAAAATATATATACTTTGACACTCGAGCTAATTTTGAGCATGTGAACGATTTAATATAATAGATATGCATTCCAGAAGAGAGATTATTGATTTGGGTTGGAAAGAGAGGCTTTCAAATTGCAAAGCCCAATTAGGGCCATGTGTTAGGCCCAGGCTCTGGTTTTGTTCAGTCTACTTTGCTAGTTAAATGACAAAATGGGTGGGTTTGGATGAAAGAAGAAACTGAACACCCAGAACTAGAAGTAATCTCCAATTGAGGAAACTCCTTCACTTCCCACTCTGCAAGCTACGATCGTTTTCACTCCGGAGCCTTCAGCTTCTGCATTGGTATACACCATGTCCTGGCTGGCCAGATCCATTGCAAATTCATTGAAGCTCGAAGATGATGATGAAGAAGACGAAGAGAATGCCGGTGGCAACCTTAAATCACCGCTCAAATCTGATTCCGTATCTAACCAGTACCATCAGACAGATTCTCCTTCGCCGTCGCCGTCGCCGTCGTCATCTTCAACTCCCACTGCCAGAGGCGTCAAAGAGGATTTGTCCGAGCTGAAAAATACCCTAACCCGCCAATTCTGGGGTGTCGCCTCTTTCCTCGCCCCTCCGCCTGAACATTCTGCTTCTCACTCTCACATCTCTCATCCAAATCCTAACGAACCGATTGATACGTCAACAGCCGACAATCCATCTGACCCTAGATTGTCTGAAGAAGATCTAATTGCCGGAATTCGCAGTGATTTCGCGGAATTCAGCGGGAAGTTTAAGACCGGGATCTCGAAGCTGTCGAACACCAAGACCGTATCGGAGATCACCAAGATTGCTTCCAATTTCCTTCAGTTTGGATCGGAGGATTCTTTGGAGAATTATGATGTGGGAAGTGCGGTTGGTGTAACAGAGGAAGTCCTGATATTTGTGAGGAATATCGTCCTGCATCCTGAGACCTGGTTGGACTTTCCTCTTCCTTATGATGACGATTCTGACGGTAGCTCTCGCTTTCTATCTGATAGTTTCTCCATTGCACAAATTGAATATTTCTATTTTCCTGGATACAAACCTTCGACGCGCAGCATGGTATTATGTCAATATTCTTAGTAAGTTAATCGAAATTTTGAGCGATCACAGATGTGCTTCTGACCGAATATCTCGAGCTTCTTTTATTCTTTTTTACAGCAATTATACTTCCCGCTAATCTTTTTAGCTACCTCACTCTTTCATGTGTAGATGTATTAATCAGCAGACCGACATCAATTTTAGACTAACTAATTTTTTTTCATTCGATAACTCGTTTATAGATCTTGAGTTATCTGATGCCCAGCAAGAACATGCTTTAGCTGTTGAGCATCTTGTTCCAAGATTGGCTGCTTTGAGGATTGAGCTTTGTCCTCACTACATGAGTGAAGATTGCTTTTGGAAGATCTACTTTGTGCTCTTGCATACTAGACTTAGCAAGCATGATGCTGAAATTCTGTCAACACCCCAAGTAAGTTGGGCGCTTTCTTATTAAATACGTTACTTTAAAGTTGCGTTGGGCCTTGCACTATTCCTGTGTATGCCACTTAATTAGCTGAGTAGATGTACTTATTCCATATTCTATTTTAAGGGATCAAAATTTTGGATGTTTGTTACATAGAAAAACAATTTTTTTTTTAGCTTTGGTATAAGATATTTGTCAATCGTATGTGTGTCTGTATACACTACTAGCTTTCATTGAGGGAAAAAAAAAAAGAGAGGAGAAACAAAAAGGGGAATGCCTAAGACAATAAGAGTCAGAAGATAACCACCACCTTAACCTAACTATAACACCTTATGGAAAAGGGTTATAGATAGTTACGTGATTGGGAGGGGAGGGAATATTTTGTGCATGAGATCTGTATGGCCCTCTAGGTAATTCGGTTATTACTTTATATAGTTTGAGTAGGTGAGGTAGAGGAAAAAGACTGTCATCTTTTGGTAGAGACTCGAGCCTCTTGAATGGCATGGGACATTTTTCTTCTCTCTTTTATTTAATGTTCTTCTGGATTAGTAAACTTTGGTTCCCTTAAAGTATTCTTTTGACATCTTTGGTTATAGATCCCCAAAAGGAGATATTGATCCTTGCCAAGGCCCAATGAAGTAATGAGTAATGCTCATTATTTTCTGAACATGTAGTTGGGGGATGATTTCTAGTTTAATATGGTAGACAGGGATGATATGGAAAGTTTGAGTTCTGGAGTATAATGGTAACATGGAAATTTCTGTTAGTGAATGCACAATAACCCTGAAGTACCAGTCACCTGCATGTATGAGATGAAATGCAAACCAAGAATCTCTCCAACCTATCGTTTTTCTGTGTAAATTAAGTGGGTGGGAGATGGACCTACAAATTCAGATAGGGTTGTTGGACAGGGACTTCGAGGAAGCATCATTACTCTAATTTGGATAGAGTGTCCTTTTTAAGTGTGTTTGACAAGACATGCTCTATATGCTTGATTTACTGGGATTAGTCATGGTCAGTTAATTGAGAACATGTTGGAGATGTGTACGGGATAACTTATGGTCACATTTAATTGAGAAAATGAATTTTAGCTCTACCAAGTTTCATCAAGTCTAAGAGAGTTGACAGTTTACATCGATGAATTAACCAAATACATAAATAAAACTCAATATAATGACATAAATACATAACCGAGCATGTGGATGATTCCTCTTTCCTGTAATTTCAAAATTGTTTCCTTTTCCAAATAGTTTCCTAAACATGCAACAAAATCCTTAACGCAAACAAAAATTACTCCTGAAGTGATATGTGGCTGGGCCATGTATATGCTTAATAACCTGGCAACTAGGCTCATCATAGACGGAATCTGACAGAGAGGTTAGGGAGAAGGAACCCGCCGCCACCTTGGAACATAAGTTTGCCCTCCATCCAGAGAGAACTAACCAATATGATGCAGACTCTTAATGGATCTATTCAATGCTTTATCTATCACTTGAAGCTTGTGTTTGTGTTTATCTCGTCATCCAAGAGACTGCCTCCTAATTTTGCTGATTTTTCTCAGTTGAAAGACGAAACTGATGGCCATGCTGCTGAAATGTTTGCTTTGTTTGTAGTTTTATTTCCTTATTTGGAAGCATCAGTCTGTCAATTGTTGGTTTGGGTATCATTCAAGTAATATTTTCCAAATATCCATCAGAGCTTTCTGGAATAATCTTAAGTTGCGGTTCCCTACCCTGCATAACTAATTTTCTGAAACTTGTTTGACCATATTTGTAGATACTAGAAGCCAGAGCACAATTTCATGAATTACAACAACGATCCAAGGGACAGATGGAGCCTCAGATATCTAGAAATATCTCTACTAGCTCAAAAGAATCTTCTGATTCATCCAATGAGGAGCTTCTCTCTGTTCCACCAAGAGATCAATCTGAATCACTGAAATCCCATGACAGTGCAGCTCCTTCCTCAATGGTTACTGTTGTGGAGACCGATAAGCATCCAATTAAGAACGTGGAAATTCAAGTTGTAGATAAGCCTGTCATTGAGGAAATATCCTTGCAAACCGGTGTTGAACATTCCCACTCTGGTCCTTCCCAGGTTTTTGATGACATATACGTGGATGATGGAGATGATTGGTTGAAAGAGGAAACTCTTGAGATTGATGGTGATGGTGAAACTAACATTCCTGCTGGGAATGACGAGGATGTATCATTTAGTGATCTTGAGGACGATGACCAGGAGGTGACGGCATATCATAAGAAGGGTACATCAGGCTCCGACTCTTCAACTAAAGATTCCCGAGATTGGGTTCAGCTTAGCCGGACTTCTGATTCAGACAAGGACACCAACACCATAGAGACTAAGCATGTCGGATCGGGGCAGGTAGTCACCCGCAAGGAATCAAGTGACTGGCTTAATGTCGATGACATTGATTCGATGTGACAACTCCGTAAAACTCTTCAATCTGCTTATTTTCATAGAATTTTATCCCTTCAACAATGTATATCATGTGTTTTCTCGATATGAAGCATGCATTTGGAAACTTTGTTATAAGATCACTGTATATAGGAAAAAAAAAAACTTGTAAAACTCAAATTCATTTACATGCAAATAATGGATGGCTTCGTCGTAATTTCTATCATTTTTTGTTTATAATTTGTGGAGCTCATTTATAAGACCGTTGTTGTACTGTTGTGATATATATGCGTCGATTGTTTTCCATTTTGCAAATATCATTGAAATAAGGACCGTATGCTATCTACTGAAACAGATTATTCACAACTAATCTATCTTTATTGCCACTAGGACCCCCTCCCTTATGATTTACAAGACGTACATCCAACATTAAGATCCCCTCCCCCTATGATTTAATAGAGCCAAAGTTACTCGAAAGGCGTTCAAGTTGAGACCACAACAAGTTGCCTAATGAAAATTTTGGCTTATCTTCAACTCTGGTAACTTTGGTCCCCTGATCTACTCTTGAAGAGGAGGTTTGATCATCCCGATTTGAAGGCCTTTGAACTATGGCAACTGATCCTCCAATCTCCTTGAGCACCAACTCCAACATCTGTGGATCCACGTCCACATCATGTCTCGACGCATCTGTGACATAAATGGACCCAACAGCTCTCTCGCCATTGGTTCCAACATCGATGGCTGAAATCGACAAGCCGTTCTCACGGAATACCCGCGTGATGTCTGATAATAATCCCACTCGGTTTAAAGCGCAGAGTTCCAGCCTCAATCCCTGTAAAGTAGAAGTCCATTTTGTTAATGATAAATGGAAAAGTTAAAGGAGCTAACTTTAAGATGATGATACATACATGTGAAACCCTTCTCTCTATGGCTGCAACAAGACCCTGTAA